AACCCCCCAACCCCTGAAGTACGCCCAGTCAGTCACTACCGTCTTCTCCCGAACATAACCCACTCTGATAACGAATGTACACAAGCCATCTTTCTGGTCTGCTATAGCTATAATGGGGGCACATTGTGTTAGGGGGAAGACGGTAGTGGCCGATCGCAAACGCTGAAAAAAATCAGAAAATTTGATGCTGTTGTGCATTTCCTAAACACTATGACAGAAATATGGCTGACCTGAAGTGATGCTGCACACTTGAAGCCGCCCTTAAGAATCTCGCCAACTAAATGCTCCATCAGACCCATCGATTGAACAAACTCCTGCAAAAAAACATAATTGAACCAGCAACATGGTCAAAGCAAGAAAGTTGAAGAAACCGGCAAGCGAATAATTACAACCACCACTACCTGCGAGCGGCTCCTTTCTGCCGAGATACTAACAGCTACAAAGGGACTGGATTTTCCTCTCCCGACTCCCCGAAACTGGCAGGGTAGAGGCGGTTGGTAGGGCTAACGTAGCGGGTGAAGTCTGGGTGAGGGTAGAACTACCCACCCCTCACCAACCTCCTCCTTCAATCAGATCATTAAATTCAGGGATGAGAAAACAATTGGAAGATTTCAATGACACAATAACCACTCTCTTTTCTTGAGGTATATGCTTTGGCAGGTGATAGTTCTACGAATTCCGAATCTGGTCAGCGCCATTGGTAACATTCAACTAGATGAGCCTACATCTTATATACATTACTTATCCTTGCATGACATGGCCCTATACATCACGTATGCCCACCACCAGAAACGAGTCATACGGGAAAAGATCCAAAACAAGCATGAAGGTAGCGGACTGTAAGAACAAGGCAGGAGAGGAGTGGAAGGCCCTGTAAGGTTACACGGAAACCGTTCTTTTTGCATTTCCCTGTTTTTGTCTCCTCTTCTTTCTTCTCCTTTTCGCTCTCTCACGGTTTCTCATTTCATTTGTCTTTCCACTTTCTGTTCAAAAGAGAGAGAGAGAGAGAGAGAGAGAGAGAGAGAGAGAGAGAGAGAGAGAGAGAGAGAGGACATGCAGCAGAGAATATACATATGTATGCAGTACTACCCAGGAGTGGAAGGCCCTGTAAGGTTACACGGAAACCGTTCTTTTTGCATTTCCCTGTTTTTGTCTCCTCTTCTTTCTTCTCCTTTTCGCTCTCTCACGGTTTCTCATTTCAACACTCCAAAATTCCAAATAATGTTTGCCACCTGACTGGATCGACTGGCACACGTGAGACACGATGCTGATCACAATTTTTTTTTTTTCTCTTTCACGACTCAGTTGACCTTAATTGAGTGATTCTTGGGTCAGGTACGCCGCTCTGACATCTCACAAGGTTTGAGCCTTTGATGGCTCACTACAATGTCTTGCAAATTTGCACATGCCACATATCAATTAGCAGATGAAAACCTCTGCCTACAAGTATCCTTGTACAAGCAGGACCCCAAGAAATGCTGTCCCCTCCTCCGCCCCACCGGCCCCCCCCCCCCCCCCCCCAAAAAAAAAAAACAAAAACAAGCCCTGCTCCCCAATCAACAGTGAACTTGCATGCACCTGACCCAGTTGCCAACCGGGGCCCGTGGGTAAACAGCAAATGGTAAACTTTCCCTGGGAACTTAAAAGGAAGCATGGCAGACTATGGGCTTTCTTTCATAGAACGAAAATACACAGCAGAATGAGGCATAGAATCAGAGCTTAGAAACATCGCACACCTGATCCCTTGGGTCAGAGCCCCTCAAGAATGCCTCCACACAAGATGCCAGCCAAAACCTGTTCGCCGCAAACACCCACATGTGTGACAGGAGTGTGACAAATTAGCAAATGACCCAAGCATTTTCTCCCGACTTTGGAGAGCAGATTCCACCGCCACTGACTACCTCAGGGCATCCTTCCACTAGGACTTTTGTAAATGTATCCGCCTGCAATGACGGCCAGACCTGGATGAATCTGACTGCAATCACGTCCACAGCTTAGTAGAAAACGTCCTCGTGTGAGAGGAAGAAGTAACTGTTTGTGTCGCTGATTACCTTTTCTTGTGCTTGGATCACATACAGGTATATAACAACAAGGTGGTCGACGTGTTGCAGTCGAATAACAAACTGAGTATCCTTTTCCTCTATTGCATGTATTCTGTAGATAGATAGGTAGAACCATAGAACACATGCAGCAGAAGAAAAGGTGACTGTGCTCCTGTGGCTGATAGATTGTGCGAGGAACGAGCTCTCACGGGCCCTATCAGACATACATGTTCTGGGCAAACGCCCCCAGCAAGCCGAGTGCCCGCCCTAAGTGAAGGCGGGCCTGAATATTCATCAGAGGCCAAAATTCGACACTTTCATATGTAGGTATTCAGGCTCTTGCAGCACGCCAGTTGGTTGACTGGACGCGCGAGCCACACTAAGCTGCGTCATACAGTTGGCCCACGACTTGGCAGTTGCGCCTGGGCACATATACACAAAGCAGGGCTGATACATCGCAAAACGGCCACCAGCCTACGCAAAAGCAGTACTGTCGACGCACCTACCCCAGGGCCCTGCACACATGCAGCAAACGGCCCAAGTCCGGAGACTCAGGCCGTGCCCAACCGTTAAGGGGCCCAGGCCCTCAACTGTGCCATGGCTCATATCCTATCTCGCCCTACCGGTCAACACATGGCTCAGCAAGCATAGAAACTGAGCACACTGGACACCGGAGCAGGAAATCTGCGCAATCTATGACCAAGAGGTGAGGGAGGACATAAAACATTGCCCGCTCCGAAGCTCCGAGGTGGAGCAGCTCCGGGGGAAGGGCAAGGGTGGTCACAGACAAACCATTCACCGAAGATCAGTGGGCCATTCTCACCCAACTCCTGCAGGCAAATGGGCTGGGGAAATGGGAGAGGAAACTCTTAGGAGGGTGGGACCCCAGGTACCTTGGGAGATGTGGAAAAGTAAGTTGCAAAGAGGCGATTGAAAAAACAGGAGGTGACACAGCAGGAGGCGAGGGAGGGAGTACTGCTAACAGTGGACTCTACAAAGTCAAGAGTATCAAACAGTGCAACCTCGTAAAAATCTGTGAAACACAGACCGAAAGAAATAGAAACACAAGTGGTGGTTACCAAGGCAGCCCCTCCTGAACCAAGAAAGCGACCAAACATGCCTGCTGCTAAGCTACCGAGTAGAGGTAAGAGTAGCACGCAAAATGGCAGAGGAACAATGATGATATCTCAAGGCCGTCGCCCTTTTAAAGAAGGAATGAGATATCTCAAAGAGGCGATTGAACGGACACACTTTCCCGGGCAGGGCGGGGCTTGGGGCTATAGGGACCGCGAAAGCCCAAGGCACGGAGAAAATCAGGACGAGATACTGGACCTGGTTTCCAGCATAGCTTAAACCGGGTAATCGTCCAAGCTTCCGAGGTTCATTGTGGAGGGATTACCGACATCGGTTTTGCGGATTAAAAAAACAAAGAACACAATTCCCCCCAAAAAACAAAAAAAAAACACTCGTTACAGCACGCGCATCTCACGTCAGTGGGCAACTGCCCACTGTAAGATTTCTTTCTACAGCATTCCCTGAACTATACGATGGCCATTACACAAACACAAACGTTGCGTCGGCACAGTCCTGGCTCTCCCAGGATCATCACACAAACATTGAAGAAGCAACAAGAGCAAACACTGCCAGCAGCCATCCCCTTTGCCGGCCTTCGTTTTGCGGATTAAAAAAACAAAGAACACAATTCCCCTCAAAAAACAAAAAAAAAAACACTCTCGTAACAGCACGGGCATCTCACGTCAGTGGGCAACTTCCCACTGTAAGATTTCTTTCTACAGCATTCCCTGAACTATACGATGGCCATTAGCAGCCATCCCCTTTCCTGTGCTCCACCCCCTCGCACACTTCTCCAGCTTCTCTTCTTCCTCTTCTCCTCGCTGCCCCTCTTCACTCCATTTCTTAATGCAGGACATAACTCCCTCCTTTGCTCATTCTTCTCCTCATCTGCCCACCCCCTCCCCTGCCGCCCTCCTCGTCCTTCTCCATCCTCATTTCTTAATGCAGGACATAACTCCCTCCTTTGCTCATTCTTCTCCTCCTCTGCCCACCCCCTCCCCTGCCGCCCTCCTCGTCCTTCTCCATCCTCCTTGTTTCTCTTCTCCATTTCCATCTGCCTATGTCCTATCTCACTCGCCCTGGTTACCGCCTTCCTACTACTAATACTAAATCTTCTTCCTCACCTCCTCTTCCTCATGCACTCCTCCATTTCTTCACACACCATCTCACACAGTTCGGCATCACTTACCCTGCGTGAAATAACGGTATAATCAGGATTGAAAGCTGCACGCAGTTTGACTAGGGGATTGCGCATTCTCCAGGTTATCACATTTCAAAAGAACCTATTTCCCCAGATCCGGAGGAGAGTTCGACAGAAAATGGCTTGTACAAGTCAATGGGCTGCGCTGGACATTCATTTACCTATATGGACCCGATACAGTTTTTCAACTGACCAATATTTTGAACAGAGACTCGGCTCTTGAGGCTGAGCGCGCCGGTTCGAATCCATGCTTGCACGGAGGAGGTCCTGTGGCTGATAATGTACAGACTGTACTTCAACCGGGTAACCAGCCCGGAAATCATAGCTGGATGTGGTGGACCGTGGATAAAACCGTTGGATACGCAGTTGTGCTGGATGAGAGCGGAGTGTGCGACTACTGCCTGTGTGGCGGATGCCTTGTGTGGTGTTGTGTGTGCGTGTGCGTGAGTTGAAGGACCCTACAGCCATGCAGGGGTGGGGTGTGGATATCACAACCGGCATGGATTCACTTTTGTACACCGTGTCATGGCTGTAGTGGATAAGAGACTCGGCTCTTGAGGCTGAGGGTGCCGGTTCGAATCCGTGCTTGCACGGAGGAGGTCCTGTGGCTGATAATGTACAGATAATATTTTGAACGCGTAAAGATCCTTCCCAGATTCAGATACATTCCCAATCTTGCGTGATAGAAGGCCAAATATTTCCCGCATATCTGGTACGGTGGGAGGGGGGGGGGGGGGGGCGCGCTGCGGGTTGCTTTTAGGGAGGAACCACAGCACCGGTAGATTATATTTTTTTATTACTTTGCAAACCAAAAGATAGTTTGCGGCACTGATATCTGTACCGTTGACACTACTACTTGAAATAGACAAGGTCTAACATTTGACTTTGCAAACCAAGCATGGATTCGAACCGGCGGGCTGCATACCTGTAAACGGAATCTGCAGGCTCTTGCATGAGAACATCAATAATCTTTGACATCAGCCCCTTCCCCTTAGGCCTCTGATTTACATCCAAGTGGTCCGCATCCCCATCTCTGTTCTCTCGCCGCGTTCCCTGACATACGTCAAGGAAGACATTGTCAAATGCGAAGAAAATTAACCATAATGCACGCCAAGACCAGACATGCGCCTGATAGACCAATCAATGACAGGTCCATGAAAAGTCGAAGAAAACAAGGGAACAGCAACAAGAATTTCCGGTCCTGTTCGCCCCATGCTTGCATTGTTTAACACTCGACAGCTGTGTCTGGTGTGCAGCATACAAGTATTTGTCGCTGGGCAGCGAGCGAATGGCTGCCTGGTTGTGCAGGTTTTTCTCTTTTCTTTTTTATGATAATTTGGACCATTTCTCGATTTATGTGCGTTGTCCTTGCGCAGGGGCCATGCTAATCTTCTCTGTATCGTTCCAATTTTAACGCATATCCTAAAGGACAAGGTTGTACAGCAGATTTGTAAAGTATCAAACGAGCACGTTGCGGAGGAAGTGCCTCTAATGCTGCTCCAGCTTCAGACTGGGGGAATGACTCTGCTCTAACCAGAGAACAACAATTTTCATTGGGTGCCACACCAGAGACAACAAACTTGGAGTACATGGCGGCACAGGAAGTGAGGGAAGGTGATAACGATATTATGTCCTTATGTCCGTGGCTGAATGCTGAAGACAGTTGCAGCAAATACCATGGGAGATGCAGTCGGAGGTGGAAGAACGGTTGTCAGTGTGTTTTCTTCCTGCTTTGGGAACTCGTCCCCACACGGCATTCCACATTCGGACCTTGCAGTGAAGTAGCACATGAATGCATGCACAGAGAGGTCGTCTTTTGCCAGAGCGAACGCCTCTGGCTGGGAACATTTGGGCCAAAGATAGGACCTTAAACCAGCAATACACCCGGGCCTGGAGGCGCCTTGCTGCGCGGCAAGCTTTTCCGATCCCCCAGCGGCACACTTTCTTTATTGTTGGCTGGCGCCGCCAGCCATTGTGGTCTGGTAGCCGGAGCTTTGGAAAATTTTGTAGGCGACGAGTTGCATTTTCAACAAGGCTGGGGCTGTGTACTGGCGGTTAAGGCCTGATTCTACCAGCGATTCTACCTTTTTGGGGTTGATATGGTCTAACTGCAAACTAGGCCAACAGTGGAATGACATACGGGCTGAACAATATATTGTTAATGTCAAATATCCATCAACTAGACGAGTGCACTTCGCAAAACAAATGAAGAAACCAGCAGACACCATGAAGCACATTGAATTTGATTGAAACCATACCATTACCATTCTTCTTTCCCCCTTTCTGTGCTGTTTTTTTTTTTCTACCTTCATTTCGGATTATTGTCGGTTCACTTTTCTTTCTCCTTTCAGCTTTCACTTTTTGTTGTGCATCTCATGTGCAAGGTTGGCCACACTTATGAGCCCACACACCCATCAACCATAACGACACATGAGCATGATGTAAAATAGGGAGGGAAGAGAGTGCAGAGAGAAAAGCGAATTAGGAGTGTGGAATAGAGATGACAGAGTGAAGACCGAGAGGAAGAGTCAGAAGCAAGCATGGCCTTGCAACAGAGGGGCCAGCCAGGATAGGAATGAGACGGCTGGCATCAATCATGCTCACAAAAAAATGCAGATAAATGGCGTGTCGCTTGGAGCCCAGGATGAAAGAACAACAGGAATTGTTGGGGAGCATGTATTCGTTTCAGCATCCCTGGTTGTGAAATGGATGTGATGGGTGTCCGGGCACGGCAGGTGTGCACAGTGACGAAAGCAAGGGCAGGCCTCTGCACATGTGACTGCAAAAGCCATGCCATTGCAGCGAGTGTGCCCCCTGCAGCCAAGTGCTATTCTGTAGCTGTGAAGAGGAGGTCGCGGAGTATTGACACACTGTGACACTGGCATAAAGAAGGACAAGTGATCTCTACCCCCCCCCCCCCCCCCCCCCCCCCCCCCCCCCCCCCCAACACACACACATCCCTTCGTTTCTGAAACCCTAAGCATCATTACGTGTTGCATCCCCACAGATCTCGAGGATGAACGTGGTTGATTAAGAGATTTCTAGGAGTGTAGCACAGTGTGCTCCTTTTGTTCCAGAATGTGGCCTTTTCTCTAGAGGAGCTAGCTGTACCCAGCCCACCTGCCTGAATGGTACACAACTACCTGCTAATGAACTGACCACAAGGGCGGATCGTGTTTGAAGTTTGAACCAGGAGGATATAATAAATTTAGGTGCTACCCCCTTCATGGAAAAGAAAGGAAGCCAATGCAATGGCCAGGGTTGAAGTTACCTCAAGTGAACATAAATCCGTACTCCTCACCTTGGAAGATCCTTTGACTGGCTGAAGGAGGAGCTGTTTGTTCGCACGGTTGCAGCTGTCTCGATCACAAAAGTTATGCACCAAACGAAGATACTGAATTTTCAAGGCCTGTGTTCGGACGATGATGAAACAGCAAGACAACAACAAACAAAGAAAGCCAGAAGCTCATTTATCTGACAACGATAGCAGCATCATCAACATAGACATACATGAAGCACCAACATATCAATTGACACAGGCCACTACACACCACAACTTCATGCCCGAATCGTCAAAATCAGGCGGAATGGTTATGGCAACATGTACCTCCAGGCACTTGAGACGAACAGGATGTATCAACAGTGTTTGCTTCACAGAAATTAGGACAATCGCCGAGCACTACCATTTTCACCCGAATAGAACGCCCGGTCATTATCGCTGATTTCCCCAAATACAGCTATAATGACCGGCCGTTCTATTCCGGTGAAGATGGTAGGGAAGAAGGGTAGACATTCCACCTCCGCCTAACACATACATGTCAACAGGGAAGGTATTACAAGAAAGCAGAAAATTTCGCATTGCACTTTGCCCTCCTCCTAACATGCATGTCAGCTGTGTTGGGATGACAGGCACCAGATCTTTGTCGCATGCAATGCCCCCCACGTATGTGCAGCTGGGCAAGAAATGCCCAAGACATTGCACACTGTCAGACATAGACACACACACTTATCTGGCATCCAACCTGCATGCGGGGACCATCACGCAGGTCCCCCCACATAGAGCCAAAAGACAGCAGAACTAAGCAGGGTACCTACCAATAGACAGCTGCAGCCAATGACCCTCTTCTCACACCCCTGCCGTCATTCAAGTGCCTCTTTTCAGCTCAACACAGTACGGAACTGTCAATTCTCAGTGCCAACATTTGGATGGTAAAAAGCGAAAAAAAGAACAAAAAAAGCGAAGAGAGTGTAGTCATTCCCTGCAGATGCATTCAGAATGCACCTGAATAAAGACACTGTCATGTGCATGGCAAAGGACCTGGCAAGCTGCACCATCAAGATACATTCTCCCAGATGAAGCCACAGCAAAAGCTCCAAGAGTCCAAGACCTCTTTTTTTTTTTTTTTTTTCCTTCCCACATGTATTACTTTTATCTTTTGAATGCTGCAAGAAGTAAAATGTGGTCCCATTAACTCCGCAATCTTCTTTTTCTTTTTCAAATCAGACACTGAGCTCATCAGAACAAATGCTACTCTCGATCTTATGCTCTTTCCATGGTGCATAGACATCCACCAGGCAAGAATGTATGCCAGAAGTCGTTGTGTATTGTTACGAGGGCGTTTTTAATGCGGTCCCGTTAACTCCACAACCTTCTTTTTCTTTTTCAAATCAGACACTGAGCTGATCAGAACAAATGCTACTCTCGATCTTACGCTCTTTCCATAGTGCATAAGACATCAGGCAACAATGTACGCTAGAAGTCATTGTGTGGATTGTTACGAGGGTGTTTTTATCTACTTTCAACTGACCTCATAGAGGGTTAGAGCAGGCAAGACATAAATTAACAGACTCTACCAACAAACCTAGTTGACCCCGTTGGGATCCTACAACAGTAACCACTCCTCTGTCAAAACCTCCCTACAACTCCCTCATACTGTCAACACTCACTTTCCATCTCGCTTCGACCGAGAAGCACTCGTCTGCCTTCAACATTTTTGTCGTTCCGACTCATCCCGCCCGCTCTTCTCCACGCATCCCAAGGCTAGGCGAAGCCCGGCTTGCTAAAGGTCATGACGCATTGGCAATATCCTGTCTGTCCTCGTTGCTTCTAGTTGGGAAGCCATAGCATCTCCTTACACCTACCTACATTGCGCACTAGTGATACACTATGCAACGGTTGGGCGGGTGCTCATCTATACCAAAAAGAGTTGTGGCTGTGCTTCGGGGGAGTTCTGGAGAAGTGAGGCAGGAAGACGTTCACGAATGAAGAGAAGGGGTCCACATTTTTGGAATACCGCAGCTTAGTGGCACTGCATTTTACGAGGGCTGGTTGGGTTCATTTCTTCCACGCACGAGTGGCGATCAAGTCTGTTCTTTCCTTCCCTCTAAGCCTATGCCTCCGCCAACCATACTGCTGGATCCTGAGGAAGCACTGAGGCTTAGAGTTCTGGAAACATCCTGTTCTCACCTTTTCTAGGGGCAGAGAAGTTGTAGCGTCCCTTTGTGTGCAGAGTCTGCAGACTGATCTGCGCCNGAGTTCTGGAAACATCCTGTTCTCACCTTTTCTAGGGGCAGAGAAGTTGTAGCGTCCCTTTGTGTGCAGAGTCTGCAGACTGATCTGCGCCTAAGCGGACTTGCTGAATTTGCCTAGCTGCCAGTAGCTGGGGCAAAAGCTGGGAGCAGTGACGTGCTCTTGGGTAAGCGTGAATGTGTGTGCGAGGGAGAGACAGTTCCTGAGGAAGCCTGTATTCCATGTTCTAGCTACCCCTTGCTTGATTGGCTCTGTTCTCAAATTTTCCTTCTGAGCTTATACAGAGCCAACGGAAGTCAGGCTCTGGTGTTTTCACTCTTTCTTGAGTTGGCTCATTGTTCTTTGATGCTCAGTGGGTGTCCTTTGCTGAATGCTGCTAGCTGAGCATGGACAGCACCCTGGTGAAGCTTACAAGTGCCTTTTGCCTCTTGCTCACTCACTCATGCCTGGCTGATAGGTCGTCGAAGGACCACAGTGCTCAGTAAAAAGGAATGGTGGCGGCAATAGCTGGATGGTAGACTGTAGCCCTCCCAAGGTTCGCGTTGAGCGTTAAAATTCCCTTTTCACGCGCATCAACACTGCTGCCTGGCCTTTGAAGAGGAGGCGATAATCTTAAATTGAGTAGATGGTTGCGGCACGGAAAAGTGTTGTCAATTACTCTAACGCTTACCGATTGTGGATTGCACGCACATCCTGGGCCATGTATGCCATGTGGCTCGGGAGGGGGAGGAGTCGGCGCTTTCCAATCAAGCTTGTCGAACCACTTTGTCAGAATTGGCACCAGCCCAAGCTCCGCCAGCCTGTCCTGAACCTGAAAATATCAACCAGAGACAGNAACCACTTTGTCAGAATTGGCACCAGCCCAAGCTCCGCCAGCCTGTCCTGAACCTGAAAATATCAACCAGAGACAGGAATGACAAACCACTTTGTCAAGAGATGTGAAATATCACCTGCAGGGCTACCACTTTGTCAGAATCTGCATCAGCACATGTTCACTGGAGCGATGTGAAGTATCACTGACAGGGATAACTCACACACAACTTAGCAATTAGAAATTCACACTCCCAATCCCAGAGAGGCAAACTGGCCTTAACACCCAGACGTCCAGCCACCAAACCAATACATCTCTCCACCTCCTCTCCTCTTCTTCATAATTACACACATGCGCAGCTTACTGCCAATGACAACTAAATGCCCACTCAGTCAAGCAATATCCTCTCGGCAATACCTTCTTCACAGAATTGCACGCTGCTTCAACTCCTTGATCCCTTCGACCTCTTCACAGTTATTTGACAAATGGATTGGATCAGGACGGGTAAATGCGCAGCATGTTTTTCGCATTGTTGATCATAGAGACTATCACGGTAGAATCAGTGACTGAGGTGAAGTCGTAACAAGGTAGCCGTAGGGGAACCTGCGGCTGGATCGACTCCTTTCCAATATACATACCCATATTTGATTTAATGTCGATCTAATCAGACTAGTTACCAAAGGCGTTCGCAAGGTGCAGCAAGGGTGTGAGCAGGAAAGTTCCCACTAACCCACCCGAGGCTGCGCCAATATCTGGCAATGACACCAGAACATCCAAACATATATATAAACCACCGTCGGGCACTTGTTAAGCCCGGACGCAACATCTCCCCTTGATTAAAATGTCAAATCTACCATTTTGGATTAAAATGTCAAATCTACCATTTTGTACATCATAGCAACGATGATGCAGTGTGAAAAGTTGAAAACATACATTCAGAGACGTTAAAGCTTGAAGAGTTCCTACCGAAAAGAAACTGTGAAAAGGCACGTGCGTATACATAATCTTTTTTTTTTTTTTTTTGGTTGCGTATGCGAAAGCAACTGTGAAAAGGCACATGAGTATACGGAATCTCGGGAAACCCCGTTCTGAAAATCCACCCTCAGGGAGCAGGAACTGGACAGTGGACAGTTCAAAAAATTACCAGTTCCTTCTTCTTGCCACCGAGAAGAGCGCAAAGAACGAACAGCACCTCCACCTGGTTGATCGTCACAAAAGAACGGCCGAAATAGTGAGTACACACCCTCAGCCACATGGCAATAGCACAAGAATTATCAAGTACTACACTTGGAGAGCACAGAGAAGGCAACTCCTTAACACACAGCCTTGGGAGTGAGCAAAGCCCACTACAATGGGATCATATCGATTGGCCAAGATATCCTCAAAATGTTAGACCATAATCATATGACAACATTCTGTAGATTTTACAAGCACTGAACGTTTTGGTGGTAGAGCATATCAACAGCCAACAGATCTGAAGAAATCAACTACATCAACAGATGCTCTCTCTCTCTCTCTCTCTCTCTCTCTCTCTCTCTCTCTCTCTCTCTCTCTCTCTCTCTCTCTCTCTC